CAACAGAAGCTACGGAGGATCCCGGACTGTCACCCCCACTTCACAGCATCCCTTTCTTCATCAGAATGATGTCAGGAGAGAACTTTAACTAAAAAGGAAGAAAGTTTATTTAACTAAAATTCATAGTTTCATAACATACACATTAAATGTCCATAACGCAATTTTACAAATCACTCATACAGAGAACCGGGAAAAATCTCAGCTTGAATGAGAAAATGCTACGGACCCAGACCCATTTAGCCCGCTACAGTCTGTCAATCACTGAAAGGACAAGTTTTGCAAGACACAGTTTATTCCTGAGGGTGGCAAACGTGAGATGGGAGTTCCACGTCTCAACTCTGTCTCCTAGACCACAGCATTTGGGGTATTTACCGAAGCAGCAGCACCAAGGTCTCAAGCATGGGGAAACGTGATTGGAGGTTAAGGAAAGATGACGTAATCAGTGGTCCGCGCATGCGTGATCAAACCAGCGTTCTTGAGACTTGCTTCCAGAAAATAGTGATGTTAGAGTGCTATGAGGGTGGTGTTCTTAACCCTCTGATATCAAAAGGCCACCCATCCAGTGAAGAGGCAATAATTTCAACTGGTTGGAGCTATCRGGTTCCTGAATGACACCTTAGGCAACTGTTACCATCCTGACCAATACATCAGAGATGTTATCTATAGCCAATTTGATGGGAGGGTGTATAGTGCTAGCTAAATGACCTCAGAATTGTAATTAAAAGCAAAGGAAACTAGAAGTTTTGTTAAGATTTTTCTGTTTCAAAAGACAGTCAACAGATGCCATACAAAAATCTCTTCAGATGTTGTAAGTCTCTGAGGAAGATTTTAAAGTAGCCATCATAAAAATGCCTCAGTGAGCAACTATGAACATGCTGGAAAACAAAAAGAAAAACAGAAAGTCAAAGAAATTGAAGATGTAAAGAACTAATGGGAATATTTGAACGGAAAAATGCAATAATCAAAATTTAAAACTCTCTTGATATCCAGACACAGTGGAACATATCAGTAATCTCAGCTACTAGGAAGGCTAAGGCAGGAGGCTCACAAGTTACATGCCAGCCTGGGCAACTTAATAGACCCTGTCTTAAAAACAAAAAATAAAAATTTTTCAATGGTACAGCACTTGCCAGTAGTCGGGGTTGGGGGGGGGGATGTAAAATGTATTCCATGGATAAGATGAATAGCAGAATGGAGAATAGAGAAAGTATGATTAGTAAACTGGAAGACAGAAAAAAAAGAAAGTGCCCAATCAAAACAACAGGAAGAAATGGGCAAAAAACAGAATATCAGGGACCTGTGGTACTATACTGAAAGAAAACTCCTGTCATCAGAGTCCAGGAAGGAGAGAATGAGGTGGTACCTGAAAAGTGCTTAGGAAATAATGGCTAAACATTTCCCAAATTTGGCACAAAATAAAGATTCAGGAGGTTGAGAAAACTCAAACAGGATAAAGCCTGTTTATCCTTGAGTATAAAACCTCAAACAGGAAGCCAAGAAACCTCAACCTTAAAGAAACTCATGCTAAGACACATGAAACTTCTAAAATTTAAAGACAAAAATAGATTTTGATATTTAGGTCTACCAGTTCAATTACTTCCAACAAATTGAATGAAAGCACAATCACCTTTGATTTCTGAAGAACACCTTCTACCATTCATAGCTTTTTGCAATATTTTCTTTCCAAGAGAAAGCATTAAGAATATACTGAAATGGTCCTGGAGTGKGGTTTCTCAGCCTACTAAACTGTAAACTCTCTTTCAGTAAATATAAAAAGTTTATGCCACATTTAAATATGATTTTAACTTCAAGATAAACTATTGGCTCTAAATAAAATAAAAATAAGCATCTCAATCATCTACTTACCAGACTGATAGGGTGGACAGTGATGTGTAGGATGAGTGAATTCATGAAAAGCCATAAAACTTGCCTCAGTGCAATGTGGCTTTCACTGGTGGAAATGGTACCTCTGAAATGCACTGTTTCTCAAGAATTAAGCAAACAGATAAAAATTATTTAGTCTTCTAGGAAGATTCAGACAAAATTCTGTACTAAAAAATATTTTAAATCCCAGAAAAAAATAATTTCCTCTAATGATGGGAGGGTTTATTACTCAGGGTTTACAGATTAGAGATCTCTGACCTACATGCTTTTGCAGAGTCTCTTTGGGGGCTAAGGCTGGCCTTGCCTTGGCTTCATATTTTGAAGCAGTTTTGCAGTTTTCCACACTATGGTTGCCCCTGCCTTGATGTGGCTACTGTTGGCCAGCATCTGTCATAAACAAGGAGAAAAGCCTATAGATCATTCCACAGCTGCCTGGGTACCCTGTTTCTGCAGTACTTAAAAAGTTAACCATGACAATTGTTGATCACTGACATAAGGTTCTAGATTCCATCTCTCTTCTGGGTCCTATCACCCAGATTTCAAAGAAAAAAATAGAAATAATCTGAAAATCAATCAACAGGGAAGAAAATTAAAAATAATCTTCAAGTCCATTAATAGGAAATTACAGTATACTTTTCCCATAAAATACCATGTAGCGATCAAAAAGAATGAAGTAAGCCTGAATATATAAAAACTTGGGATATTTTCCAGAATTTATGGGAAAAAAAAGGGATATGCAGTGCAACATGAAACTATCTATAACAGGCACATATGAGGGAACCACACCAAGTTGCAAATGGGAAGGAATTGGGAACAGCATGAAGAATGCTTTGACTTTGGAATCTGTTTTCAGATTGATTTGTTTATATTAAAAATTTTTTTCATGTTTTGCTCATGCACATGGACTTATGAACACTTTAAAAATTAAGATCAAGATGAAAAATTGAGTTAGTGGAAGACTCAGTAGAGACTACAGGATATTGAATTATGAAGGGAAATGACAAACTTGGACAATACATGGTGTTTTGTGGGAAAGGTATTAATTTCCTTTTAGTGGACTAGAAGATTCTTTCCTGTTGATGGATTTTCGGGTTATTTCTATTTTTTTATGCTAAAAACTATATTGTAATGATCATTCCTTTATGTTTTTCTCTGTTCACATTCACCTTGTCTAAGGAGATGGGAAAGAAGCTAACAGCTAAACTTTAGTTCTAAATTCCTTGTAAACATGCTAAAAACTGGGACCTATTGGCAAATAGACTAATGATATTTGCTAAGAGGACTTTTATCTAAGGAATGCTTTTAGTGGTTCATAGCTGGTTAAGGATTTTTTATAATAAACTTCGAATTTATGGATGTTTGCAAGATTCTTGAAAGTTACAAAAGCTATACAACTTCAGAGGATATAAACTGGTGATGTTTCCTTACCTAAAGGCTCCCTGCTCTCTTCTAAGTTAAACTTTCTTATTAACTTGAGAAATAGCACAATGTAATAATAAAGCAAATGCATTCTGGAGTAGAGTGTGGGGTTTGAATCCAGGTCAGCCACTTGCTAAGTATGGCCTCAGAAAAGCTACCTAAGTTTTTGTGACAAGGCCAATTTCATAGTCATGTAACGATTATATGAGATAATGCGACAACACCAAGAAAATGTGCCTTCTGATTTCGGGGTCAGGATCTTAAGAGTCTTCTCTGGTCTCACCAAACTCCACTGCTGTTCTTTTTTCACAGAGGACAACTGTTGGTACTGCTTTTTCACTCCTCTGAACTATTGCTTTTCTTTCCACATTATACTCCCTGAAAAATCTTATCTACTCCAATGATTTCAACAAAGTCCCTTTAGGCAGATGACAATGAAACTGTCAGTCCAGTATTTGGGTATTTCTAACTTGATTTTTTATAATCATCTTAACCTAAATTTCTTCCTAAATTGAACTTTATATAGTTATATATATACTAAAATGAAAAATCTCTAAGGGATAAATACTCTTTTAGTTTTTTTCCTTTAACTTATAATAAATAGTATAATTAAAGAATATAACTATTTATAAGTAACATGTAATCATGTAATATGCAATCATGTGTTCTCTGGGAAGACACACAAAAATGGGTACAAGTAGTTACAACACACAAGACTTCTCRCTTTAACTTTTTTGAGCCTCTTGAATTTTGTACCACCATATGTAATGCCTGTTCAAAAATAAATACAAGTCTATCAAGAAATACAAGGAACCACCTCATCAGTCCCATCACACCTATTGTCTGTTTTGGGTGGTGATATCCCTCATCTACTCAGTTTCTACTAAGCACTTGGGAATCATCCACCATCTTCTCAAATGCACATYTAATTTCCATATTCTGCTGACATGCCTCAAAAAGGAACCCTTCCATCCACCCACACATTTAATTGCAACCCTGGGATTATACAATAAGCTAAACCCTGGGCTACAGACAAAAARATGAGATACTGTCAGGACAATACCCTCAAGAAGCCCCAGAGCTTAGAGATGCAGAGCAGCACACATAGTACTTCTTAAATAACCAATTCCATAAGCCATTTACAAGTATTTATTTAGGTAAGAGGTCATAAAATATATTTTATAACATACATAAGAAAAAACACATTTGAATGATTAAAAAATAAAATGACAGGTAACAGAATTTAGTGTTTAGAAATGAAATCATCAATAACTTCTAACAATTTAAAGAAAAAACTCAAAGTGTATCTAAAAGTTGAGACTATGTTTTACAATATTTTATAATAAAAAAGTATTAGACTTTTAAAGGCAATACATGACATMATGGTTTTCTGAATGATTTCAAAATAGGTTTCAAGACACTGTCATACATAGACATGGGGGAAAAAAAGACAAGAACTTTGGCAAGCAAAGTATTAATCCATAGCAGCTTGGTAAAAGTTTATTTCTTTTAATATAAAAATTCTTAAATTTACATTTGTTCTTGTTATAGGAGCAGAAAGAATTAATACGGTAACGTGTGAGAAGTCTATAAGCTACATGGCAAAAATGATTATTTCAATAAAGCCTGAATTCTATGAAAAATGTGCACCACACTGCATATATAGTAACTGGGTAAATGTAAACCTTGTGATTATTAACTCTTCTACATAAAATATTTAASCCCCAAATATCACAAAATGCTCCCTATATTTCTTTTTTAAATGCAGCCTCAAGCTTTAAACTAACATACATTTGCTATTTGAAAAAGTTCTCATCTCCATTTTTTAAAATGTTCCATAAAGTACTTTAGAAAAAAAAAAATTTTCATTATGCTGGTAACAAGCTTTCAAAAAACTACCAAAGCTAGAGAAGGGATCACCAAACCAGAGGTTTCCTTCTCTAACCCCTGGAAGACCTTGCTACTTGGAGGCTCATAGCTCCAAGAAGATAACTCAGGATTTCTAACTTAAAAAAAAAAAATTGTCATAAATAACTGGTTAATTAAATTTCTAGGAAAATGAAATTTTTCTATTTGGATTACGAAAAGTCAATTATAATGAATTGCCTTCCAATTATTTATCAATTACTTATGAATGAAAGATGAGAAATCAGTTGTTACATACAAAAGATAAATACTGCATAATATGTAGTGAATATTTGCACAAACCCTCTTATTTAAAGCATTAAATGCAATCAGTAAATCTGATGCTCTTAAATGTGTTTTCTTAAAATACATTTATGACACAACTCAAAAAACCTCTAAATGGTACAGAAACATTTTTAAGGCTTTCCTATAGGTTTATAGCAAGCATCGGGTTGCCATAGGCGAATATCAACAAGAACCTGATTGAGTTTTTGCATCCAGAGATCCCGTTCTTCCTTAGTATCTGCAGACAGCCAGTTCCTACAGGAACAAACAAACAGAGATCAGAATCTCCTCCATCTCATTCCATACCTTTATCTAGCCTTGCTAAGAAAAATGAAAACCAAAAAAAAAAAAAGCCTAAATAAATCAGTAAAAAGAGTTAGTCTTAACACCTTTTAATGAGTTCTAATAAAGACCCACAAAATGAGATGTTTTTCTAAGTATAAAAGAGTAAAATTATCCTGTTTGGTTAGCTGATCATAACTCACACTAACGACATTTGGTAAATGACGTTTCCAACTAAGAAGGTGTTTCACACAGGCAGTCTTGCCTAGGTAATTTGGCAATGTGAGACACCCACTGAGTATAGGCAGCTTCCTAGTAATACCATCACAGACTCAAATCTGAGTTATCGATATCCTTGAGAGCTCAAATCTGAGTAACCGATATCCTTAAGACTCAGGCTCCCTAAAAGCTGGATGCTCTTGGATCTTAACCTGCCTTTATAGGTAATGCCACTGTTCATTGTTCCCCATTATTTTTGTCCTACTATGCTGGTAGWACATGGTGGTACTTAAAATAAAGATTCTAAGACTTTTGTCATACCAGGAGTCTCTTCCTTGCATCCATATTAGCAACCAGTTGAATGAATAACTGGTTGATGGGGTGAGCAATGGCAGGGAAAGGGGGAGTTCCCTAATTCCCAGACAGACCGTCCTTCTAGAGAATASCCATTTGTCTGTTAAAGGGTTTTATGCTGTACTCATTTTATACCTTTACAATTTGTCATTTATACTAAAATGGTGCAAAAATGAATAAGGGGGTAAATTTACTGTTTCCGAAATGTTGATAAAAAGAATATTACTTGGAATAACAATGACCTTTTGTAGTGCTCATTCCATGAACTCAACACTGTGCTAAATGTATCTATTCATTAACTCTCTTGTCACTCTGTGAAGTTTCTTTTTCCCTTTTGACACAGGAGAATTCAGAGAACTAGCAAAGTTAAGTGACCTGCCATGATTACATCTATTAAGTTACCAAGTTAGGTTTGTAGAGCCAGAAGTGTAGCTTATGGTTTGATCCCCAGTGCCCAAAACAAATTAAAAAAAAAAAAAAAAAAAACACTTAGGTCTGTTGACTTTAAAGCTCCACTATAAATATTGCCTCCCCATATGATAAGGGATTTCCAGTTCAAATATGTAGTGTCTACTGTAAGGTAGGCAATATTGATGAGGAGAAATCTTTTATGATGAAGAAGGGAAATATAGCAAGCCTGGTTAATAAAAATGAAAATGAGGTACATTAAATTTAGATAAAAGGTATATGTTCAAAAGGCACTAACTATAGAGAAACAGATCCACAAAAAAGAATGCAGAATTGCTGCATATTTTTATTGTTATGATCAAAAAAAATAAAATAACTTTTAAACCCTCAAGCAAAGCTTAAGATAGCCAAGACTATAAACTGAGAATATGCTTGGATAAAGCAGAACACAACCAAGTTATGATAATGTTATAAGAAAAACTACACATAAATAAACAGAATAATTACAGCAATAGGTAATCTAGCTACTTCTACCATAGGGGAAGTCCCAAAGAACAGTGTAGAAGGGTTTATGCAGCAAGTAAAAAAAAGTTATATGAAAAATATGAGTAAGATTTACAAGAGATAAAGTAAGCTGTTGTGGTCAGAACTATTTAGGTACTGAACTTTGGTTCTTTCAATGATGGAGACCAGCCATGGGGCAGCTACCAAGCAAAAATAATTACAAAGCCATTTTGCCTCTCCTGTCTTTACACTACTGTTGAAGGTCCCCGAAGAAAAGGAATGGATGAGCCAATGTGAATTAATCAGGATGTAACCTACTCATCAAGAATTTGCAAAGAATGGGTCCCCTAGTTTTTTAAAAACAAATTGGCAGGCTCTGAGGAACAACATTGTTCTATTTTGGTATAATGTCTCTGGGTTGCAGCTTTCTAAGATTTTCACATTAGAAACTCAGTGAGCTAAGGCTACCATCTCCCTGTCCTCAATATCCAGCAACAGCCTGATGAACAAAGGTTTTTATCAAATTCTAATTTTTGTGCCTAGTTATAACTTTGTCTTCAAACTTTTTGGTCATTCACGCAAACGAAGCTATGTTAGACTCTTAGAGTTATTACTAAGTTTTTATATCTTAAGCTGAAGGTTAACAAAAAAGTGATATTCCCAAKAATTTATTCTCTCAACCTCCAACCAGGAATCTGAAGAATGAGACTCTTTTTGCAAATCATTGGGTTAAATGAGGGTATTTTTGTAATGGAAAGAAAGGAATTTATCAAGTTTTCTTAAATAAAACTTGACTTCTCAACTACACATGAAATCTGTAAACTTAACCCAAAGATTATTAGTTAGCTAACCACCTTGTAAATGCTTACACTGTGAACATATTAGAAAACATGATTAGCTGGGATATAACCTGAATGTTAAACACTTCTTAACTATATTATTTTATAGACTGTTCTCTTAATGCTGTAGATGTGTTTCCTACAGCATTTCTTTCAAAGTCAGAGGTCACTCTGATATTTCTCATCGTGGTAAGAACAAAGTGGGTAATTAGTTACTTAGTTGACAGAAATAATAAAAGTTTGATACATACTTTGTGACACAGAGTGTATCCCTACATTGGCTGACGAGAGTCTCTCGGTCATCTTCTCTCTGTGGTCGAACAGTAATTAATTCAAAAGTATTTCGTCTTGCACAAAATTCTCTGTTGGCTGGTTCTATCTGATGGCTGGTACAATTGGCCAGATTAATCCTTCCTATGGGATTCTTTAAAAATAAATTTAAAAAACATTAGTAAAACATACACAAAACTAAGTCAAGAAACGTTAAGCGTTAAGTTAGTAAAATTAAAATTAGAAAGCCATTCATTTAAAAGCTAAATTTCCCCAAAATGGAAAATTAATATATGGGGGGAAATGCCCTGGTAATCTCTAATCATCAGGGAAATGTAAATTAAAACCACAATGAGATATCACATCATACCTGTTAAGTTGGCTAGATGAAAGAGAACAACTATTGGTAACCACCACCACAAAAAAAAAAAAAACCCATACACTGTTGGTGACATTGTAAATAAATATAGCCATTTTAGAAAACAGTATGGAAATTCCTGAAAAACAACTAAAAATAGAATTACCATATAACCCAGCAATCTCATTACTGGATATATATCCAAAGGAATTGGAATCAGTATGTCAAAGAGATGTCAACACTGCCATGTTTGCTGCAGGATTATTCACAATAGCCACAGTATGGAAACAACTTAAGTATCCGTTGACAGGTGAACGGATATTAAAATGGGATACTACTCAGCCTTGAAAGAAGGGGGGCCRTATAAATAAATCGTGATACAAAGTTTCCAACAAATATGGAATAAAAAATAACATATATAATAAAAATAAAATTTWAAAAATACATAATAAGGGGGCTGGGGATGTGGCTCAAGTGGTAGCGCGCTCGTCTGGCATGCGTGCGGCCCGGGTTCGATCCTCAGCACCACATACCAACAAAGATGTTGTGTCCGCCGAGAACTAAAAAATAAATATTAAAAATTCTCTCTCTCTCTCTCTCTCTCTCTCTCTCTCTCTCCCCCCCCCTTTCTCACTCTCTCTAAAAAAAAATACATAATAAAAATAAAATAAAAATAATAAAATATATAATTTTTAAAACCTTAAACAGGAAATTTTAACATTTGAGATAACATGAAAGAATCTAGAGGTCCCTGTGTTAAGTGAAATAAGCCAGGAACAGAGAGGCAAACAGCACATTGATCTTACTTTTTACATGTGGAATCTAAAAAAGTCAAATTCATACAAGTAGAGAGTGGAAGAGAGGCTGGGAAAGGGAAGGCAGTAGATAAGGAAAGGGGAGAAAYTGGCCAACAGGTACAAAGTTAAAGTTAGGCAAGAGGAATAAATTCTATTGCATGGTATGATAACTATAGTTAATAATAATGTATATTTGAAAAATAATAAAAGAATTTTAAGTGTTGTCAGCAGAAATGAATGAAAAATATTTGAGGTGATAAATATTCTAATTAGCTTGATTTGATCATTGCACAATATATACATATATTGAAAACATATTGGACCCCATCATAAAGAGACTAAGTCATTACTTATCAATTAAATTAAAAATTTAAAAAGTTAAAATATTTAATATTTTATATTAAACATAAATAGTCAATATTTCTTATTGTTTCTTGCAATACAAAAAATTGGAAACCAAAAATACCATCTGATGGCTGTTATTAACTATCCTATGAACCTAAAATAAACAAAACCACTATTATGGAAATCTTCAAACAGAAAATAAAAAGAACAGTATATAATCCCTTAAGTACCCTCAACAATTAGATACATATGTTCAACTACCTTTTGCCTATACTTCACCTTTTTCTCCTCTTTCAGTAAAAAGAAGCCTAGACATTTTACTTCATGTATAAATATTTTTTATGTATCTCTAAAAGATAAGGCCAAGCAATTGGAAGCTAAATCATTCCTGTGCTATGTTAACTAAAAATCCATGAGACCAAATGGTACCCAGAAAGGGAAGAGGGAAACATATGGTCACAGCCAATAAAACTGTCAATACTATTAGTAATTTTAAGAATTAAAATAAAATATATAATTTTTAAAACCTTAAATGGGCTAAGTTTGGATAGAACAGTAAAATTTTCTGTTCGATGGTTAAAAGTAACAGAAATTCTTACATCCCAAGTATAAAATGGTTTGTGACTGGCTGGCAATTTGATAACAGCTATCAAAAAGCATTACAAGTAAACATATTCTGATCTACAATTCTACTTAAAAGAAATTTATCCTGAGCAAATACATAAGCAAACAAAGATTCATATGTAGTCACTATTTTTTCACAATAGCAAATATTCAAAACAAATTAAAAGATAGTAAGGGGGGCCATATAAATAAATTGTGATACAAAGTTTCCAACAATATGGAAAACTAAACAGTATGAAACTAAATAGTATTATATAATGCTATTATATAACCCCTCCAAAATTCTAGATAATTGAACTTAAAAAAATAAAAGAAATCATCAAAAGCCAAAAATCAATGAGGAAGAGAGAGTGCTGAAGAGCAAGCTAGCCTGAAATCCTGGTTTACCCTTGGGGCATTAACTAATGTAGAAATCTATAGCCTGGCTCACACAGATGAAATGATTTAATATGAAGCCTGGTACTTGCTTTAAAATATGCCCAGCAAAACAAGAAAAAAAAAAGTATGTTCTGGAGACACAAATTAAACTTCAAAATTAATACTTCCCAGAGCTAATAGTATAGTATATTATCTCTTTTTTTGTGTACATGAATATTTTAATTATAAAAAGCAAAATATAGGGTGGGGCTGAGATTGTAGCTCAATAGTAGAGCTCCTGYCTARCATGTGTGAAGCACTGGGTTCGATTCTCAGCACCACATATACATAAATAAAATAAAGGTCCATCAACAACTAAAAAAAAAWTTTTAAAAAGCAAAATATACTTTTCCATGTGTGTGCACCTGCAGGAGAGAAAGAGATAAAAGGGCTAAAAAGAGTAATACATTATTGAATAAGAATAAAGATTTGCCTGACCAGGTACTAAGATTTATTTTAAGCTGTAGTTATTGAGATTAGGATAGAAAAATAGAAAAGGAAACAGAATAGAAAAGCTAAAACATAAACCTACTCATAATTATATCTTAGATGTATACATATAACAAATATATTAATACTTGCCATAAATGGCACTGTGAATCAGGGGGAAAAGGACTGACCATTCAATAATGCTGGCAAAATTTGTTATCCAGGGCTAGGGATATAGCTCAGTTAGTAGAGTGCTTGCCTCACATGCACTAGGCCCTGGGTTCAATCCCCAGTACCCCACACACACTGACACACAGAAACACCCACACACACACAAACACCCACACACACACACTCACACACACAAACACCCCCCCACACACAAACACAAAAGTTTCTCTGGTCCCAAAAAGTAAATTTAAAAATTCTAGATAAATTAAATGTTAAGTATAAAACTTTGTAGATAAAGTATAAGAGAAATTTTTTGGTTACAAGGTAAGAATGGTTTTCTTAGGACTCAAAAAGTACAAAGAGCTGGTGATATAGCTCAGTGGTAGAGTACTTGCTTATCATGCACAAGGCCCTGAGTTAAATTCCAGTGTCACAAAAACAACACAATAGGTTAATAGATCTGGTTTCCTCAACATTAAAAAATTCAGTAAATTTTTAAAACACTGTAATAATAAAAGATATCCCAAGCCATACACTAGATAATTATAATTCCAACTTACAAAAAAAGAATGTGAAATGGCTAAAATATATAGAAAATCAATTAATAGAAGAGAAAATATAAATAGCCATACATATAAGAAAAGATGCTTCCTCTAGTAATCAAGGATATATAAAATAACAGTGAGATAACACTTTGGATCTACTGACAAAAGTTTAAAAGGCTGACAGATCAAGTGTCAGCAAAAATAGAAAAACTGAGAAGTCCCATATACATCTTGGTAGGAATGGAAAATTGTGGACCATCTTCAAAGAATCTTTTGACAAAATAGCTAAAGATATAAAAAAATCCCACAACCCAGAACTTTCATCCATTTATTTAAAAAGCAAAAGTACTAGTTTTAATAGCAAAGATGTGGAAATAATCTAAGTGCTCCTAAAGAGGAGAATGAATAAAGTGTGATGTGGTCTTACAGTGCAATACTATACTCAGAGAAAAATAAACTAAAAATATACATATCCTCCTAGACTAACTAACACATTGTCCTCAAAAAGGCAAGTTGTAGAATATTTACAATATATTATTTGTTAAATGTTTAAAATACCAATTGCAATAACATATATTACATATATACAATAGAATCTGAAGAAATACATAGGAACAAAAAACAATTTTAGCATGGGTTATCTCTATGGAGAACATCTACATAAACAGCTTCAACTGGACTAATAACTAAAGTTGACTGAAATGATGTTTTTGTGCCTTTTTGAATATCTTAAACATTTCACATATTTTTAAAATATTAATAATCTTAATGACCATAATGTAATACTATTTAATAATTACTAAACACAATATAATAGATTTATCTTTTTTGATGTGGAAAGATGGAGATTATATATATATATATATATATATAGATAGATAGATAGAGTACTGCTTTGGCTGGAGATGTGGCTTAGTGTACATGGTTGCCTAGTATGCTCAGGACCTAATCCCAGCACAGGAGGGGGGAGGGGGCGGAAAGACTCTAAGAGAAAAGAAGGAAAATCATAAGCAATGGACAGGATATAAAATCTTCACAAACAGAGAACTGCAGCAAGAACATTTTAAGAGCTTAGTAAGTACATGCAAGGGAGAATCTTGAAGGACAGAGGGAACACTTGCATGAGACACCACATGAAAATCAGAGCTCTTCACCACCAATCAGTACTACTTAAATTACCTTTCTCCTCTCATCATCTGGATAAGTCCAATAAGAGATACAGTTGCCAGAAAGAACACACCATCTTCGATGCCAGGCACCAAAACCACTAACATCTTCAAATATGGTCTGGAAAAGTCAATTGAAATGCTGACTTGAGAAACTGGAGGAAAATGTCCAAACTATAAAAGCTGATTCTGTATCTTCAACTTCATGTTGCCACATTTCATGTTGCCACATTTCATGTCAAAATCTACTTGTATGATTTGTATCATATCTTTTTACCTTAGTAATGAAAATTGTTGATTGTTCACATCAGAAGATAACTGTTATATTATCTAAAAGCATTTAATACCACCAAGATAATTAACTTCAAATAAATATCTCTATAAAACTTTAGAGTTTTCATGAGCATGGTATCCCTAACCAAATGCTCCTTAAACAAGAGAGATGTATCAGTGTTGTAGAATATAATGACATGAGAGTATAATATCCTCTGCATTAAAAAACTAGTGACAGGCTGGACACAGTGGCACATGCCTGTAATCCCAGCAATTCTGGAAGCTGAGGCAGGAGGATCACTTCAAAACCAGCTTCAGCAACAGCGAGGCCGTAAGCAACTCAGTGAGACCCTGTGTCTAAATAAAATACAAAATAGGGCTGGAGAGGTGGCTCAGGGGTTGAGTGTCCCTGAGTTCAATCCCAGTTTACCCCCACACACACACACACACACACACAAAAAAAAAAAATAGTGATAGGATATTAAGTTAAACTTATCTTCACATAAAGACTGGCATTTCATTTATTCTCATTTAGAACCGAGTTTCTAACAGGATTATAAAAGTCAACTCATGATCATAAGCCTTGATGGACTACTGTGATAAACATCAGAACTCCAAGTCCACTGCCTGGCTATCAGGTGCACTTGGAAGTGGCATCTCCCTGCAGTCAGACATGTCTTAGGAATGCAGGTGGCATCCCAAGGGTAGGTGAAGAGTAATGTTGGTTACAGATCAAACTCCTAAATAGGTAATGAGCAAGTACTTCCACTTAAACAATGTTAAGTAGAAGCTGGGAAGTTTTTTTCTCTGCTATTTTTCAATTGTAGTTATAACAGAGCCCTAATTTATATGAAGTCCTCACTTTTAATTTTTTAAAAAAATCCTTTAGGAACTTTTACATTAAAGAAAAAAGGAAAAAAATGTAACAATGCTATATATAGATCATGAGTTGGCAAAATTTTCCTTGAAGGGCCAGAGAATAAATATTTCAGTCATAGTAGCTCATCTAGTCTATATTACAAATATTCAGCKTTCTTTTGTAGCACAAAAGAAGCATAGACACTAAGTGTAAACAGATTATCCTATTTCTACAGCAACAAGTGGTGGCCCCTACTTTGCTATCCCCTGATGCAGATAACCTAAAGGCATCTTTGTGTTTCATTTCAGAATACACCAAGGTTTTCCTACCTTTAAATCACAACTTTACCTTTCTGATTGTTGGGTAGCTAAAAACAACACTAGTATTATTTGATTCTGGCTGTGAGGCACACTATTCCAAGAACATGTTTTCACATTAACTCAACTAATCCTAGCACCAACACTGCAATAGGATACACACTCTTTCCAATTCACTGGTTTATGTGAATTTGGCAAAGGCAGTTTGTATGAGATGCTTCCATGATAGATAAAAAACCTCAAATCAATAAGCTTAGTTTAGTAAAATATTCCTAATAATCATATTCCTCCTGTCCTTTTTCCTGCTCCCTAGCTCATTCTTTTTCCCAACACATGCTTTTTTCTGAACAACACTGCTCATAGCTAAGAAAGAAATYTTGTCATTTCAATTTCAAGCACAAGTTAGTGCAGGTGACTCATGAGCTCCCTYCTGTGTGCATCTTTTACACCCTGAAGGTAATAGTCAAGGGAAATGCTAATGGAGTTATTATCATATCCTACTTAATCAAAGAGGAATAAGACAGCCTTTTCATCTTTATAGCTGAGGAAAATGAGGGTTAGGGGAAAATTAAGTGACAACACACAATAACAAAGCAAAATTGGCATCTTCTAGCTCCCTGTCCAAAACGCTTTTCTGCTGTCATCATTCAAGACTGATCTGGACCCACATTGATTTAGAACCAAGTACCAATGTCTCTGGCTACAGACTTCCTCCTCCAGCTGTCTCTGGCACAGCAGGAAAATAAATTGAACCAAAYAGTTTTCATTTCAGTTACAATCTCTATTTTTTACAGAAGGTAGGTGGAATTAAAAATGCATTGTTTAGGCAGAGGACAAAGTCATATGAGGGAGTTCTGAGCTCTTCATTTCTGTGACTGTGGGTGTAATAACAATGGCTTTAGAATTCAAGTCTAGTTAAGAGCATAGCTCAAAAATTAAATAGGTTACACATTATATACACATGAACTGGCTACTAGAACAGAACCTATCAGTTGCTAAAGGTGTCTGCAATAAAATGTAAAAATATTTACATTCAGAGGTCAGTAAGTAAACATGACTTTCAAGTCAGAAATTTATTTTAAAATTCTTTTCCAAGACTATCTACTGCCACCTACTGGATTTATAACTGAAGAAGCTAACAAGAAAGGAAAAATTGTGTGTGTTATCTGTGAAAGTCTGATTTAGCTAGGCCACATGGGCTTTATTTTATACTTTAACTCTTCTTTTTTGCACCTTTCAATAGTAACTGCAAACTTATTTGTAATATCCCTTGTATCATTCAAATTCTTGTGTCAAAGAGAAAACCAATTTGATTTTCACCATAAACAAAATTTTCTATGTATTCTACACATATACTATTCTCTAATGACAGAAAAAGTATAATTCTGTATAGACTGATCCCATGAATTATAGCTAGAGTGCATTTCATCCCCTCTCATGACCTTGCTTTATGAATTACTCTAGTTCAAGTTCCCTATGGCTTCTATCTTCATCCTCTTTGGCCCTGTTAGAAATCACTCATTTGTATTTGGAGCTGCTCAAGTCTCTCCCATCCTAATAAATGAGGACCAAGTCCCTCTTTCACCCTGCAGTACACTCACTCTTCTCTCTTTTCCTACTTGCTACCAAACTTTGTTTACAAGAGTTACTCCTGCTCTCACTCCTCACCTCCCATCAGATCCAGAACCAGTTGTGACCTAGAGAACCACTTGTGATCTAGCCTCTGTTCTTGCCAAGGCTGAAATGACCACTTTATTACTCCAGCAGTCACAGTGGATTCTTATCTAACTTGACCACTCTCTCCTTCAAACCCTTCCCTTGGCAACCAAGRTATTTAATTCTCCATTTCCTTCCCTGTGGAATCCTCTGAGGGCTTATCTCACTTAAATGTCAATGTTACCCCTGGTTTGCTCTGCTCACTGGCCCTGGCCTTCCATTACTACCTTGACATGCAGACACATCCATACCTCTATCACCACTAAAACTTCTACCCTCAGTTCCAAATCCTGATCTTTGAAACACATCTCTAGTCCTAAAATTCAAATAATTTAAAACCCAGCTCATTAAAACTTCCCACTGCAAGTAGGAATTGACTGGGAAGGGGCATGAGGAAACTTATTAGTTTAAATCTTAATAGAAATTTGGGTTATACACATCTATGTATTTATCAAAACTCAAGAAATGTGCAATTAAGTTTCAGGGGAAAGCCCTTAATGTCTACAATATATTTTGAAATTCTTCCAAAAAAGATAGAGGAATGGCTGGATAGGAGATATGTGGTAAAACAAGGTAGTAAAAAATGTTACAGGTATAAGATAAAATCTAGAAAGTGGATAGATGGATGCTCATTGTAAAATTCTATACACATTGCTATTTGTTTGCCATTTCTCACAATAAAATGTTGGGGGGGGGGGAATACATGGCCTCCAGCCTCAAATGTGGGAAGGAAGAACACACTTGCTCTTCCCCCCAGGTGCTTTACCCTCAATAGTATTCCTGCCACTCAAAATGTGCAAAGAGGGAGCTGAGCGCCATTTGTGACTTGTGCTTTCCTCACCTGCTAGAGCCAAATCACCTGTGTCTGCTTGCTTCCTTCGTCATGTCTCTCTGATGAGCCATTCCCTGCATCCCACTTGTGGTTCCCATCATCTCTCACACCCAGTATCTGTTTCCTAACTAGCCTTTCAGGATCACCATTCTCCAATCATGTTCCATATGTCAGGTCAAAATGATTTTTCTAAACCCAAAATTTAGTGTTTTCCTCTGTTTAAAATGCTTTAAGAATACCCCACTGGCTTCAGAATAAAGCCCCAAATCTTTTAAATGCCCTTTAACACTTGGCCCATTTCCCCTAACTATACTTTGCTTTCTAGTCCCTCTCCTCCCTCCACCCCTCCCCTTAACTCAAAGGCTGAAATACCTGTCATTGTTGGAGTGTCTCATGCTTCTTTCCTTCAGGTGGGGGTAAGAGAGGGAAGGGCCCTCCAGGCCACTGTACATGCTCCCCTTATATGGAACACTTATCTCCTTTCCCCTAACTTATTCAGTGAGCAGTTTAGAAGTTACTAATTCCAGCAGCTTCCTTTAACCTTCTCCACACACAGGACAGATATTTTGCCAGCTCACACCTACCCCACTGTGTTTTCTCCTACKTTAGTACTGTATTGTAGTTGCCTATTCATTTGTATTTCCCTTAGTGAACCAAGAGCCTTAGTTGAGTGATTGCTTTTTATGGCCTATGGTATTCCAGCACAATGACTGGCATATAGACGATTTGAAACAAATCTTTATTGAACCAATTTATCATTTAATCACATAGACCTTCATTCCTATGGGAAACCAAGTCTATGTTTTATAAAACTGAAAAAGGAAAATAAAGACTAAATGATGCTACTTACTAGAAAACCTTTTTCTTCAACACTTGAATTCACTTGACAATTTATTTTTAAATGAATATGACCTTCCAAAGGAGACAAAAAGGGTACCTGGAAGAAAAAGGGTAAATTATTTATAAAAATAGTTTCAAAGATGATTTTTCTTGATAAAACATGTATAAATCATGAATAAAGAATAATATGCATAGAAAATACATCATTTCTAAAGTTGGAATATAAAAGACATAGCCAAAAAGCCACTGATTCCTTAGCAACAAACACTTTTGAAGAATAAATTAATTCACTGTASAGCTTGATTAAAAACAAAAACCCTAATTAATGTGAAAAATAAAACATAGATTTAAGAATAGAATACATATTTATCTATTCTCCATCAACAGAATATACTCAACAGGAGACCAACTGCTTAAATTTACTCACTAATAAAGAAAAATGAATTGCAGAAATGAGAAAGCTAATCCTTAGACTCATAGGAAATTGTCAAAAGTCCTAAAAACCAAAATAATCTTAAAAAACAGAAACAAAGATGGAGAAATTATATATCCCCATTTAAAAAAATTAATTCACCAGGTGTAGTGGTGCTTGCATTTAACCCCAGCAACTTTGGAGGCTGAAATAGGAGGATCACAAGTTCAAAGCCAGTATCAGCAATTTATTGAGGCCCTATACAACTTAGTGAGACCCTGTCTCTAAATGAAAATAAAAAGGTCTGGGGATATGGCTCAGTGGTTAAGTGACCTTAGGTTCAATCCCCCATACCAAATAAATAAATACATTTTAAAAAATAAAAAATTAATTCAAACTGTGGTACTTGCAAAGGATGGCACATAAACAAAGGGAAAATAGTTGAAAGCCCAAAGAAATAAATTCATATATGCCTAGCCAATTGATTTTTGACAAGGATGCCAAGACCATTCAAAGGCACAAAGCAGTCTTCAACAAATGATGTTGAGAAGATTGGATAGTCTCATGAAAGAGAGACTGGATTTGTACCTCATACCATATAAAAAAATTTAACTCAAAATGGATAATTATTTAAATATGACATGAAATACCATAAGCCTCTCAAAAGAAAACATGAGGGGCTGGGGATGTGGCTCAAGCGGTAGCGCTCTTGCCTGGCATGCCTGCGGCCCGGGTTCAATCCTCAGCACCACATACAAAGATGTTGTGTCCGCCGAAAACTAAAAAATAAATATTAAAAAAAAAAGAGAAAAAAAAAAGGCTCTCTTACTCTCCTCTCTCTCTCCCCCC